CGTAGGGCTTCAATCCCCCCCATTCCCTACCTTCCCCGCCGCGGGGGGTTTTGGGGGGGGGAAAACCCAAAAAATCTTAAAGTTGCCAAGTTTGAAAAACACTGCTTCAGTGTGCCTGCTAAAAAGGGAGAATATCTGCATTTGATTACACAATTTCAAATGTGACTCAAAAGAGAAGGGAACTCTGACTCGTTTTTCCTGTTATTCCAACGTTTGTCTACACAGCCTGCTGGAATGATAGCAGGATGACCTTTGGGGAAAGGCAAGGCGCATGGAGCTGTCTTCTCTGGAGGGTGGCGGGTGGCCCTGCCTCTGAGACCATACTTTTTCTTTTTTTTGGTCAAAAGCAATTTGGGGCAACCTACGGGTGGTTAACAGGGCCAGACCTAGACACCAGAAAAATCTCACCCTGACCTGGTTCGTAGAGTCAGTGAACCACGATTTCTTTAATCATGCATCATCAAATGCGCTATCAGTGTTTGGGTTTGTTCTGTTTGCAGAAGGATCCATGGCAGCTTACAAACCATAACGACAGATTCACCCCAAAGTATATGCTGGCCTGGTGCAACGTATGTCCTCAGCCACGTACCCCCTTTTCTGACCTGGAAGTAAAGCCACACCCAGGCCAGGTGAACCCTACAGGTGAACCCACAAGCCAGGGCTTCTGTAATTGAATGGGGTTGTATAATGCAAAGCCAAGTCAATCACATCTTGGCATGCGTTCTAAGCCCAACCCTGGCCTGGTACCCCTTGGTTAATGTTGAGGATACCAACCACAGACTTCTCAAGAAACCAGCAAGATTTAGCTCAGCACGGGATCCCCGCCCCTGTGGCCTGCCACCTGTCATTCAAGGCTGAACCTCTCAACTCTAATTTCTCAATCTAATTGGGGTCAGATATGCCCCGCTGTGGTGTGATGTGCCAACACGCCAATGCAGCTTTGCCCATTTTTATTTTCTCTCTTTCTCTCTTTTTGGGGGGCCTTTGAGTCAGCACTGACTCCTGGCAACCACCTGGACAAGGCCCTGCAGTTTTCCTGGCAAGGTTTTTCAGAAGGGGCTTGCCGTTGCCTCCTTCCCAGGGCTGAGAGAGAGGGACTGGCCCAGGGTCACCCAGCTGGCTTCGTGCCTAGGCGGGATTAGAACTCAGGGTCTCCCGGTTTCTACCCTGGTGCCTTCACTGCTGCACCAAACTGGCTCTTCACTTTGGCTTAACTTGCAGTTTAGTCAACCGACTGCCGTTCAGTGTGTCTTGGCGGAAGGCGCAAGCCCCGCTTTGGTGAATCGATCGGGATTGAGGAGCCCCCCTGCCAACCACGCGTTAACCCACCCACCAGCCCCCCAAGGCCCATCCACCTTCCTTGGGCGTTGCTCCCCCCATCCACGGCGGGGCACACCCAGCGCCTCGCCTCCTCCCCTGGTCCGCCCGCTCCGCTTTGGAAAGGCGGA